AAATTACTTTAAGATACTTTTTATATATCTTAAGATAAACTTCATGTTATTTTAAAAGAAAATTTCGATTTACATTTCTAAAATAACAGTTTACAAAGGCATTAGTGATACAAATCGAAGAGCGAAACTTTAGTAGTTCCATCGCTAAGTGTTTTAGTTAGAGAGGCATCGTCTTACACTTTGTAGTCGATATTATTGTTGTAAATCTTTAAGCAAAGTTTGTAAGCTAACACCGATTAATTGTACTTACTTTAAGTTAAAATACCTAATCAAAATTAAACTTTTAAGTTGCCTTTGAGGTTAGATTAGACAGATCAAGAGGGCTAGATAAATTATTGTGGGTATTTTAAAGTCTACAGAAAATTGTTAAAGATGCTAGCCCGTACATATTTTTGATAGCTTTTACCTGAAAAAGCTTTAAGATTCTATCAAGTGTACTTTTTATTTTTATAAATAATTAATACGTTTGTCAGCTGAACAAATCATTATCTCCTCAATATTAAATTTTCTTTCCAGATTTCCAATTAAACTCGACGTCAGAGAACACTTTATGTGAATGTGTGGGCGTGTCTGTAGCTCCTGAGTGCTTTAAAATAGATAGTAGAAAGGAAATAAATACCTTGAACATTTTATATAAAGCCAATTGTAGTTTATTTTTAAGTATAGATAAATTGAATTTAAATGTGTTTACAAAAGGCATCAATAATTTAGTAACAGGATGAATTGTTATCCTCCCTTACGTTTAAATAATTGGAATGTCTTGTATTTCTTTTTATATCGCTTTCTGTATATTCTTTTATTGCTTTAAATAGCTTTTTGTTTTAATAATTTTCAATTCCAATTAGAAAGCTTTAATAAATTATACAAATGGTAATATGAAACATTTTATCACAAAGTACAAAGTTCATTATCGGAAAGCTAACAAGAAACTTCGTTCCTAATGAATGGCTGCTCCAAAAGTAATCTTCGAAAAAGGTTAATATTGAAGTTATGAAGCAAGGGCTCGAGACGGGACTTGCGCTGGTCTTATAAATGGCTTTTTCTTTGAAATTAAATTAAATATCATTTACGAATGTTTTAAGCTTATTTAAATAAAAGATTAATGATCTATTTCATTATATAAAATATTTTTATGGTACATTAAAACAGACCATTCTAGAACGTTCTGCGTCTATTCTTTTACAAACAGAGTTCCATTGTAATAGAGAAAAAGTATATCCTTTCTTTATCAAAAATAAGATAAATTAACTAACTATAAAATATAGTAGTGATTTTCACATGGACATTTAAATTGTAAGCATTCAAATGGTATCTTCATCGATTTGTGTACAGCGGTCTCTCCCGGGAATTCGTCTTGCATCCCCGCAGGGACACCACTAACGTAATGGTTTCCTACAAATAGATGTTGGAAACCGGACAGAACTAATTTACTTTAAAGAAGACATTTGGCTTAATTGGAAATTGTGAAACATATGATCTAAAAGCAGCAAAGATTTAGACATTCATTTATTGATACATAAAGTTAGTTTAGATAATCAGAAATAATTGAATTATAGTCTATATAGCTTTCTGTTGTTTCTTTAAGCCAGATATTAATAAAAGTGTTATAATAAAACAAGCGAATACAGTCTACAAGGCTCCTGACAGTCTTATTAGACTTGCACAATCTTCCCCTAGTCGACGTAATTTCCGGCTCTAGAATGTTCTTGTACCTAGTGATCTTGTCACGTGCACCTATATAAGACAGGTGTGAACACTTACGTCGTAAATATCTTTTTATATCCACATGAACGTAGTATGTACATTAATCTGCCCTCTACCGACACCCTCTAGTCTTCAAAAGACGGCGACGTAATATTTACGAGGCGCGTTAACTATAAAACGTATCTCACATCATGTACTAGCGCCGGCAAACGTAAAAAATAACTCACAAATGACAAAAAATAACGTCTTCGTTGATGCTTCGTGGATAATAGCCATTTGTAATGTAAGACATAAGCGGTAGCGGTTTTATTTTATTACTTTAAAAGTACATGTTTTGACTTCAATACGAAAGCTGAATAAATTCAATGATCACTGAAATCTTAGAATCAATAAGAAAGGCATATAAAAAATATCATATGTTTTTCCTAAAAAATCTATAATGAACATAGTTTTATTAACTTAGACCACACTGAGTATCCCAAAACGATTCACACTGAAATCCATCACACAGCCAAGTGCGGGCGTGAAGCGTGCTGACGTCACCAACACGCTCCGGCAAATGCGACGATGACGTCACATAACCACGTCATCAAGACCTCCTTCCTACTTATGTTCAGATTGGATTGGATAAACGTCTCCTATTTCGTAATATATATTCAGTTTCAAAACTTTGTTTACTGTAAAGGCTTTACAACTTTCATATTGCTTTTAAAATGTTATATTTGAAGTCTTCATTCAAAGCCACGTTTCGACGTAAATATGCAGCACAAAGCCATCTCATCTCGTCCATCTGTATTATTGATAAAGTTGTGACAAAGTTGCAGCAGCTCTGTAACGCGTGCATTGCGAAACTTCGCTGTGAGCTGATCTCGGGCAAGTTCAATTTGCGGCGCTCCGTCAAGGGAATCCCCGTTTCAAAGCACGACTTATTGGATAAACTGTACTGTTGCCTAAAATGAGAAATTCGTCGCAAAGGCAATATAGCCGGAGTTGTAGAAAATTGGTTTTTTATACGACTACAGTACCGCTTTATTGCAACTGACATATATTGTTGAAACTGAAAGAAAATTTTAACTAATTAGCGTCATCAAAACTCAGTATACAAGAGTAATTTGCCATGTAATTTAATGATGTCTTAGTAAGGTATTGTCTAGAAGAAGAAAATTCACTAAGCACAGTTAAGAACAATGAAGCGAACAATAGTAATAGAAATAATATTACAAAGCGATCAATTTTCGTGTCTCGAGCCATTAGCGCGGGCAAGGTTTAGTCATTTGAATACTTTAAGGAAACTTGCGACAAAGGTGTGGGTAATGTTGGTCTTCCGTGTACGACGTTCAATTATTCGTGAGACAGGCCGCGGTCGTCGCCTAGCAACGACACGCACTCCCAGTCATTAGACCTAGACAGGGGATTAGGGAAGAGACACGTTTCCTATTAATATGTCACCAAATTATATGAAAGCTACAATACAGTTAAATAGTATTTACGACTCAATATTGTAGAATACGATAGGTGCTTATTATTTTTATCTTGTCTACTACATTTTTATGTCTACATCTAACAAATACGCAAGGTCTGTGCGAGATTTGAATGTCAAATTGTCGGCAGGAAATTGGCTGCAGTAATCTTATTCAATAGAAAACGCTTACGCGGGATGTTTAACCATGTCCGGCGAGGGGAGGGGAAGGGGCCTGTAGGGCCTGGCCGAGGCGAGGTAATGTTCCAACTTATTGAATTCCAAGAATTTCAGTCACGTTTCCGTAACAACGCGTAGGACAATTCCAAGTTCTTTAAGCGTTTAGCACTGATAAAATCTATTACGTTGCATTGTATAAATGCCTACTAACAATAATCTTATTTTAAAAAGGTGTGCATTTTTATTTAGTACGTACTATTACACTTCTAATAACTTCACGGCCAATCTAAAAATCTATCATAGCCTTTAGTAAAAGACTTCCCCAATATTTGCAGTAGCCCAATATCCGAATCGGATCAGTACTAAGGCAAACATCTTACTGTTGGGGAATTCAGTACGTAGTCTGCATTTCAGTGGTGGATGTGAACCGATGATCACATGTAATTTGTGCCGATGTGAGACACCTCGGGGCTGGCATCGTAATGTGATCTATGTACCGCTCAATCGATGGTGTCGTAAAGCATAAGCGGTAGCGTCGAGGTCCAGCATAAAACATGCGTAATATAACATTAATAATTAAGTTTTTATCTTGAAAGAATAAATTAAATATTAATTGTATTGTAAAAGATCTAATTAAAACACCTTACTTTATTATAAAAGGAGTATTTTTCAACTGAACTCAAAAAGTGTACTTTTTTAAAATGTATAACACCTCATACATCACCATGTTTTAGCTATTGTAATAATTCTGATTTTGAAAAAAATGTCATCGAAAAAATAAACGCTTCACGCTCGTACTTTATTGATATTTTTGGTAAGTCGTTATTTATGCGAGTTTGTGAAGGTTTTACATCGTACACACACATTTGTGTGCGACACGACACAATCCGCCTTCAATAATATACATTAGTGTAAGTTTAGAGGAAAATTTCGCTCTTTGACATGTTTGGTCGTTAGAGAAATATTTTGGTAGAAATAACAAAACTAAAATAAAATGTAATACGTGCTTATTTGATTTTTTGTAAGATCTTTTTTGTTTCTATCATATCTTAATTTTTAGTTTTTACTATAGCACATAGTAAAAAAAACATCTCATGAAGTAACTGGACAACTTTACTGAATAGTTTCAGTAATATCTTTGTATCTATCTCTCCTTAGTTAAACTAAATCCTTTGATAAACTAAATGTGATGCTATTCTATTGAATGGCCGGTTTATTTGATAAGGTGTTCGAAAATGGTATTCCCGAGCGAGGCGAGGTGGGAGCGAATTAATTTAAGTTGTAAGTGCAAATGCCGCGGCGTCGCGTCTCTGAGCAAACTTGTACACAACTTTGCTCATACTTTGTCAGATACCTATGACAGACAGTTATATTATAAACAAACGTTTTATTTTTATTGATCTTTTGCTATTAGACGAGTATGTATAAGTTCAGCATCTATACCTAATCTCTCTACTCAACAAAATATTCGGGAACATTTTTTTCAAAAACAATGAGTAAACAACAAAAGCGAGCGGAAACCGGATACATCTTGGCGGGCTTGACGTGAGGGCCCTCGTCACACCCCACATCCTGATGTGGAATTAACATTCTTTTATTTGTAAGAAGATCCTTAAATTCATAAGTATGTGTAAATGTGTAACTGTGTGTGTTGCAGCTGGTACCGCGAGTCAGCCGGGGGCGTGCTGCGCGAGGTGCGAGCGGGCGAGGCGGGCGAGGCGGGAGGGCGGTACACTGCGGCGGCGGACGCCCTGGCCGTGCGCCGCGCCGAGCCGGCTGACGCGGGCCGCTGGGCCTGCCGCGCCGCCAACCAGCACGGCCACATCACGCTGCGTCTGCACCTCTCGCTCCGAGCACATCTCACTGTCCACGTACAGCCGCACACACAGGTCAGTAGTAACAAATACATTTTTTTTACAACAATAAAAAAAATTCGGCCTGTGACTAATACGGTGTGCTCGTTCGAACATTAATGAAAGCGGCAGGGGAGGGTGTAACAAATGAAACAAACCGATCAGCAGCGGGCCGGCATGAGCCTTGTCAGATCTCACGGAGGCTTCGTTATAGCGACACGATCTGATATCCGAACCGAGCTTATTTGCAATTCTATATACGTAAAAAGACCTTTTGTAAATCCCCCAAACTCTTTAATACATATTCATCTTAAACAACGTTGGGCATTGAAACAATTTGGAAAGGTACAGCATAGCTGTGATCATTTTTTCTAAAATTATTTAAATAAGTGTACACGCTGCTCGTTTGCCCCCTTTTAATATAAAAAAAAGTGTAAGGGATGTATATCATACATTCAGTGTTGTTAAAGTGTGTCACTTGTCGGTGTTCAAATACGTCGTGACGTCACTCACGTAACACTATCCATTGAGTCAAGTTACGAAATAAAATTTGAAACAACAACAGGGAAAATCAAGTTGATTGTTTTACTGACAAACAAAAACAAATTCACAAAAGCTTTTATGCATGTAGGCGTTTTCCTTATTTAGTTTCGTAGAATAAAAATGTTTATCGACTTAAAAGTTTTAAAATATACTGACGATTGACATTTATATAAACTTGAAAAGTTTTACAATTGAGTGTATATTCTGATAAACAGGTATATTGTATTTAGTTTACGTGTTGGCTGTATGTTGTGCAGCAAACGAGATTACAGCGGACAGGCGGGGCGGGGCAGGGGGCAGAAGCGCAGCGCGGGACGTTTCACATAATTAATAGCGCACGGAATTACCTTTTACAAGAGCGCCGGAATTAATTGATGCCAGTGGACAGATGGAGCGCGCTGCTCATTTAAATTAAAAACATTTCTGCAACTTACCTACCTGTACTCTTTTCTACAAACGTTATTTCTTTTTTAATTACAGCCTTCCTCTTTTTATTATCACTATAATATAAGACTATAGAAATATGGCCTTTAAACGATGTGGCGGCAGATCGACGAGTAACGAAATCAACTATTTTATTCCGATTTCCATATAGTATATGCGTTTAGTTTGCAAACAATAGACGAATGTTTTGTTGACCGTACCCTAAAATAAATATAGCGTCGCATTCGAGGACCAGCGAGTAAATTGTTTTACAGCAAATAAAAACAAATCTCAAAAAGCTAGAGCCGAACATCCGGCTCCCAAACCGACCCACTCTACCCTTTGTTTTAACTTTATCACTTTATTCCTCCCACACTCCAACTCCAACTCTTTGGATTAGACTTTTTTGTGAGACGATTTTATCAATTCTACACTAACATTCTATTGTTAACGGGATAATTTATACAAAAGAATGTCTCATCTTCCTGTATTCATCAGTATCAAGTATTACCTAATGATAATTACTAACGTTATATGCAGACCAAAAAGTTTGTCGAAGTCGTGACAAAAAAGTAGGTTTCAAAAGTTCAATACTGTGTCAATTAATACTTATATGTGAGGATTATTCAAGTCACTTATCTTGGAGTTCAAACTAAACTATAGCATGTTATACGAGTAGTTTCGTATACATCAAAGGGTTGGATTCCAGAATTCTCGCTAAAATAAATGGATATTTGATCGCGGTGAAAACTGACACAGAGAAATATTACGTATGAAATTCAACTTGCCAACATAGATTTGATACAAATATTATTTTATATTGTAGTGAAGCAGACTGAACAGAAACTTCACTAGCTAATCTGAATAACTTTTATGAATCTTGCTGATTGATATTTTCATAACTAATTACATAATTTTGTTGACGATATTCCAACTAAAAGGAACAAGCAAAGCAAGGAATTAAACCCTCTAGACATCGTCATTACTGTTGCGCCGCGGACTGCACTCAGACACTTCGAGAGTCTTGGCAGCGTCGCCCTCTTAAAAATTTTCTTTAAAAACATATGTCTTAATAAAATTTTACTTCGTAATGATTCATATTATATAAGGTATTCGTATTAACGTTTAGTACACACTGTACTGTACTATACTCTGTACGTAACAGAATGGCGAATTCGTTTTATTTATAAAATAATTGAACCTTATATCAAGAGTAATGATGTAATGCAGTTAAAAGCAATGCACTGCAGAGGATTACTGCTGCAATGAAAACAGCTAATGGACCTTAAAATTAAGATGCACTCGTATAATTAGCTTCGCTGTAATAAATGAAACAAAAAAACTGTTAAGAGCTGGAATGACACGAACGGATGAAGTTACTTAACCATTTTATTATGTCTATAAACGTTACTTTACTGGTAGAGCAAGGGCAGATCCAGCTTTGGCGCCAGGGCCGG